GAATTCTAGCCATCATGATTTCTAAGATCTCACTCCCCACTGGAGGTCATATCACTCACTCATGTTGTACTTGAGGCAGTGCATCTGGTGGAAAGTGCTTAGGATTCAGGTAGGTCTGGGGTTAAATCCTGGCTCTGCCACTCATGTGTACAATGTCACAGAGCCTGTCAGTGTCTGTGCTGGTTATTCTCTGTTCCCTCTTCCGACCATTCTCTGCCCTTCTCTGTGCCCAGAGGGGCTGACCCGTGCATCCCCGGGGCCCCCTTGCTGGCTTGCTGCTGGTTGGGTTCAGTCAATGGTAGGCAATGGCAAGAGACTGGAGGTCAAGGGGAGAAGTTTTCCGTATTCTCTGTCTCCAGTGCCATATTCTAATGGTGGGTGCACCCACCCACAATTACAGCTTCCACCAGACGGCTTCTTCTTCATGGTTACAGCTCCCTCTGGGCTTAGTAACAGCATCCTATTCCTTCCTTGCCTTGCCCATCCGCCTGAGGGATGGTGATGGTTGCTTACTGTTTTTAGTGCCTGGGTGCCTTCCCATTCTTTCTTGGTTCCTGTATCGCTGCCTATTCCTCTATAACATTTCTCAATTTGAAAAATACTTTTGCTGGATATAGAATTCTCCGTTGACAGGTTTTTTTTTTTCTTTCAGCATTTCTGTTTCCTAGCTTGTATGGTTTCTGATAAGATGTCTGCTGTGATTCTTATCTTTGCTCCTCTGTACAAAATGCCTTATTTTCTGGCTGCTTTCAAGATAGGGTAGGGTAGTGTCCATTGTCCTTCTCTTCACAGAATAAGGCTTCTGTTCCATATGGGAGAACAGGTGGGAAGGGTCTGGGTGGAGCAGGCAGAAATCTGTGCCCCTTCCTCAGCAGTTGCTGTACCCTTCCCTCTGGTCTACCATAAGGGATGTTTTCTTAAACATCTTCCTATTCTCTTCTGTGAGTACTTGGTGGGGCTTGTGGAGAAACGTTCTGGAGGGTGTGGATGCTCCCAGTTTCCACAGCCTCCAAGCACTTCATACTCTCTTCCCAATACACACTTAGCCTTTGTAAATTCATCAAGCTGAACTCTTCTTGCCAGTGACTGCTTGCCTCTATCCCTGGTAAGCTAGTACTCACATTTTATCCGCAATGTGACACTCTGTCTCCCCTTGGATTTGGCCAGCTGGTTGCCCTGTGACCTCAGAGAAGGATTTCAAGGAAAACCCATGACTTTGCCAGTTGTCTGTCTTATTTTCATTGTAAGATTGGGAATAATGCTCTTTCTACATCCTCAAGCAACAACTGGAAGCCACGTCTCTTCATGTGAACCATCTGAATTGAATCCTGTTTCCCGCTGGGAGCTCTGACAGTGCTGGAGCTGTGATTTAAACCTAGCATTTTTCTCTCTACAGTATTTTTTCTGCCCTTCTTTACCTCCTTTCCACCTGAATTTACATTTCATTCATAAAATATTTACTGAGCACCTACTAGGTGGCAAGTCCGAAGCTTGCACAGAGATAAGGCAGCTGGGGTGTCACAGTAGTTGGCCCGAGCACAAGCATGACAGGGGCTGTCACAAGGCACCCTGGGACGCCCAAGCCACTTCCCTCTATGAACTTTAGGGAAGCTGGTTGCTCTCGCCCACCTAGCAAGCCAATTTTGGAACCTGCCTCATGCTCGTCAGGCCATTTTCTTAGCCACCAAATGCCATCTGCCTAGGAGCCCAAGTCTGAAATTAATGATGCTGCCCACTGGAGAGGAAAGAGGAAGACGGCATTACAGGCTTCTTTGAGGTTTCCTACCAGCAGACCTGTGGGCTGAGGGAAGAAAAGTAACCCTGATTCCCCAGCATTGTGAACTCTTTAAGTCAAGTTTCTCTGAAGTGTGTGATATTTATGTTAGATGTATTATTTAATCTGTTGAGAGGATAGATAAAGCCAACTTAAAACTTGTTTCAGTAATAGCCCATGTCACAGGCAAGCCTGGGCTGATTTTTAAAAAAAAATTAGTGCATTTGAGTTTGGAATCCATTAAGTTGCCTCATGGAGCTAAAAGCAGAAAATTCACTGGAGCCGTGTGCACTGGCAAAAGCTGCCCCAGCCTGTGTTGAGAAACAGCATAATGATAATAATAGCACACCGTTACTTCTTGGGAGTGTCACAGTTTGCAAAGTATTTTCACTTTCAGTATTAGGATTTAGTTTTTTGATCCTCATAACAGCTGGGGTAGGTCAGGCATTATTTCTGTCTGGTTGAGACTTGGGTCTAGAAGCCAGCCCACCCCTAAATCACATGGCAAACATCCACGAAAAATAGGTATCTGGTACCCTTGCTTTGTTCACAGCCTGAGCTGAACCATTTTTCCTTGTCCCATTCTACATGCCTCTTTCTAGCCCAGTTTTGATATTCTCAGGGATCTGACTTCTCTTTTAGTTCATACCTTGATCTCTCAGACTTGACATTTGATTCTGCTCTTCTGGTCTGCCTTCTAATTCTTATGTTAACGACAACTTTTGTCTGCTCCTTTGATTAGTTTACTTGCAGCTGCTCCCAGGTGGTAGTACCTTTCACGTCCAAACAGCATCTCTGCAACTACTTGTACTGCAACTACTTGTATTGCTTGAAATATCAATACTAATATTGCTTGAAAGAATAATATTAGCAGCAGCAGCTATGATTTGGGTCAGACATTGACTTTTCCATACTTTCTCTCACTAAAATTTTGAACCTCACACTATCCCTATGAAGAATATACTATTTTAATCCTGCCATACAGATAAGCTACAAAGAACACAGCTACACTGACCACACCCAGTCAGTGCAGCTGAAAGAACATGGACTTGGGTCCTGGCTCTGCTATGTACTCACTGTGTGATTTCAGACTAGTTACCTCATCTCTCTGTGCCTCCGTTTGTTCATCTGTAGGAAATGGGGTTGATAATTCCTACCATCAGAGGTTGCTGTAATGATTAAATGGGAAAGAGCCTGGAACACAGTAGGGTCTCAAACAAGTGAGCTTCGTTTTTCTTTTAGGGCTTTTATCTCCTCCTCCTGAGTACTGCTATTACGTGGATACTTTGGAATGCCAATTGTTATTTGATAAAAAGCAATGGCATTAACTTTTTCTTCTTCCTAAAAAATCACATATGGCTGCATATATCATCAAAGAAGGCAGGGATTGAGGGACGGGGTGCTTTCCAGTAGAGGTGTAGGAGATGGTTTTCAATTTCAGGGCTGGTTGAGAGTAAGGGCTGCACTGATGTGTAAGCGTTCAGTTTAGGAATTGATGGAGTGACCCTGGGAACTAACTGAGTGCAGTGACTTGCACTGACAAAGAAACCCCTGTATTGGCTAAATAATGTATAAGAGATTTCCATTGGGCAATGAGGGGAAAAGTGAATTATTTAATGTATTTCCATTTCGATGAGTTAATCAAGATAACTGCTGTTTTCCTGGATCTTTGTCTTTTCTTTGTAATTAACAAGGCCCTTGTTTGGTGAAAGGAATTTAGCCAGTGAACTTTGTCCAAGTTGCTGTGACTTTCTTTTCTTTTTCTTTCTTCTTCTTCTTTTTTTTTTTTTTTTGGTGCAAATTGTATTTAAAAACCTGTTACAGCTCCTTTTGCTTTGGATTCTAGGACTGTGAGAAACTGATGCTTGATCAAGCTTGAGAAAAACTTACGGTTCAAGGATTCAAGTTCATTTGGGATTAACAAACTCAGCAAGGGGCAGCAGGGCAGAGCGGCAAGAGAATGAGCTCTGGCATTCAGACAGACTTGGCTTGTGATCCCTGTTCTGCTGTGTTCTCAAATAACAGTGGACAAATGAGCCTCTCTGAGCCTCAGTTTCTGTGTCTGTTAAGCAGACACTATCACCCATCTTCCAGAGCTGTCGTGAGGACTGAATGCAGTAACTCAGTTCTGAGGCTATCAGTGACGCACAACAAGGTTAGCTCCTTCCCCATCTCCCACGGACTTATCTAATAGTCACATATTTGACAGTTTCCATTGTCTGGAACATGGCTGAGACCTCAAAAAGAAGCTAAAAATATCTAAGTAGAAAAAGATATATCACGAAGTCCATTCATTAAAATATCTCATAGAGGGACACCTCGGATACATAATTTAACTTTGGCAAGGATTAGAATAAGCTGAATGTCTGGTTCTCTGACCACACCACTTAAGAAGCCCTACCCGGGATGAAGAGCAGGCAAGTGAACTACTTGAGTGGGCCAGCACGGCTGAAACACACACTGGCCAGATAGCGCCACGCTGAGGCAGGAGGCGGTAAAACTATGGGTTAGACACAGGAACTAATGAAATAGTTTAGAATCACTTCGGGCCGGGATGTAGGGTTCTGTAGCCTCATGTCCTCACTCCCTGGAAGCTACCTTCACACTGTAGCATTAAATGCATTGTTGTTGCTCCTTATTAATGACCTTGACTCATGAAATGGAAGGTTTCAATATATCTTTATAATGTGTTTGAGAAGGGAGGCATGTAATGCACTTCATAAATTCCATCCAAAATGGTAAAAGTGAAAGAAAATTTTTGAAACTTCAAGATGTGGGCTTTGATTATGTGGACAGTTCTTCCACATGGAACTGTTCCTTCTCCCATTGCCATATTTCTGGACAGTGGTCATATGAAGAGGCTAACACTTTGCCAAGTGTTTTTACTTTTTACCTCCATCACCTGCCTATAGTATGTTGGGCAGGTATCCACTATTTCCATCTTACAGAGGTGGAAACTGAGGCCTACAGAGGTTAAGTCTACAGTAACGCTGGGTTCAAGCCCAGCTCCTCTGACTCCAAAGCTCATGCCTTTTCACCGCACCGTATTCCTTCCCTGGAGTAATAGTCTGGGTTATTAACATGCAGAACCTATAACAGGTAATAGTTTGCATCTCGAGTGGATTAAAATAAAATACATCCACAAATTAACATGTCATCAGTTCACCTCTAATCCTGCAATACTCCCATGAAACAACCCATCAGACGGTCTTGTCTTGATACTTACTCATAAAATGTTGTCCATCCATTTTCATTGCTTTTGGTTGCCAGAAGACCAGAATTGCCATGGTATGTCATCATGGCCAACTCGTGTCCTTGTGTGGTCACACTCTTGAGTGCACTGTTGGTGCCCATGGTCACCCAGTACACTTGACCATCTGGGACCACCAGCCAGAGGGGCATCCCAGTAGAGTCTCTGCGGACATTCACCATGTTGCCGTTGTTGTCTGTGATGAGCGTGATGTCGCCATCCCCAGTGTAGGTAAAGTTGTACAGGTAATCTCCTGTGGGGAGGCTCTGGGTGTACAGATGCTTGCCACTGGTATCAAACAGGTAGAGCTCCTGGTCGATGGGTGAGGACAGCTCATACATGTTCTGGGTGTTGAGGAAAGGCTTGTTCTTCCTGATAAACCGAATTCGGATATTCCCGAGGTCGGCCACGTAGAGCTCCCCGTCAGCACACACAGCCAAGGAAGATGGGGTATTCAGCTTTGCATCCTTAGCATAACCATCATCTCCAGAGAAACAGTCACAGTTGGCATCATTTTTACAGTCACAGCCACTGGGGGCCCCGGCAACTAGTGAGATCTCTCCGTTGGTGGTGACCTGCCTGATGCGGTTGATCTTCTTCTCGTCTGTCTCAGCGATATACAGGACCCCATTGTGAGAGACGGCCAAGGCCGTGGCCGACTCCAGGGTTGCATGGATGGCCACCTTGCTCAGCAGGAAGTGGTCGATGCCAGGGACCTGGCAGTGCATGGGTCTCCCTGCGACAATGCGCACCTGGTGGTTTTCAGAGATCTGCAGGACCACGTTGTTGTCCAGGACATAGAGGGAATTGTCCATCGGGTTGATGGCTAAGTCTGTGGGCCACTCCAGGCGAACCTGATGATGGAGACACGGACACTCAAATGCCTGGTAAGGTGACACCACTGATGATCCCACACCCCGCCCAGCCCATAACAGTGCCCCAGGTGCTTGCACAGGCAGTCTGGCCGAATCCTCACAGCAGCCTGTCATCAACCATGGATGTGGTCCCTGGTCAGACAGACATCATGGAAGAACCACCACTGAGGCATCAGACAGTCTACATTAGATTGACAAAACATGAAGAAGAGGATCACGAATAAGCAAACAAAAAGCAGGCGAGAGGAAAGACTCGAGTCAGACAGGCCTGGGTTCAGATCCTACTCCCCCACTTGTGGCCTTGGGCAAATTATTTGCCTTTCTGAGCCTCAATATTCACGTCCATAAAGTAGGAATGACAATGGTGCAGAGTCCAACCCCTTGCAGGTGTTCAGATAAGGGCAGCTAATGGTCTGGAGAGGGGAGGGGAAGGCAGATGGAGTCTGGAGGCTGAAGTAGGAGTTGTTCAGAGGCTTAAGAAAGACCCTTCCTGAACTGCTGATATAAGCCTGAAGATGATTTCTCAGTTCTTTAAGTTCATGGATTAACACATGACTAGGTGCTGGGGATGTAAAGACGAAACAATCCTGCCCCTGTCTGACATAATTCCAGACCTGTGATTCTCAAATCTGGACACCCGTTCAAATTACCTGGGGTGATTTAAGAGAGTACTGGTGCTCAAATTCCACCTCTGATCAATGACATCAGATGCCTGGGTGTGGGGCTTGGGCAGAGGCACGAAAGCTTCCCAGGTGATTCTAATGTGGGGTTGGGAATTGTAACTGGACATTTCTCCTTCCAGTGTGGTCATCGGATGGGCAGTGTTGGCATCACCTAAGAGCTGGTCAGAAATACAGAATGGCAGGCTTTACCCCAAACCTACTGAGTCAGAAGATGCATTTAAACAAATCCCTGGGTGGCACCCGTGCACATTGAAGTTGGTGAAAGCAGATAATGGTTTCCAGTACCTCAGAGGACAGGTCCACCTGGAAGGGATGAACCATGCTGGCGATGGGTACAGAGGTTCAGGAGACCTGGGTCCCATGTCTGAGCCTTCTCTGAGCCAGGCTGGGAGGCTGGCAGAGATCACAGGGAGCCTTCAGGTGGGCACGCGGGGAACTGCAGCTGGCAGGTCTGAGGCAAGGATGCTCTGTGTTTTGCCTCAGTGGATGTGGAGGCTGGGTTGTTGGGTTGCTGGCACTAGGGAAGCCTTTAACTGTGTTCCGCAGGAAGCCAAGTCACAATGCACATGGGCTGACAGCTGGTGCCTCCAGCTGACTTATCTATCCCACCTCTACGGACTCATCGCCTTAGGTTCCTGAGCCCCCTACAAACCTTTGATCTTCAGGCCAATTTGGGGCTTATTTAAACAAGTGTATGCCTTTGGATAAGCAATTTCTCTTCCAGAAATTTACTCTTGTACACCACAGGGTACAGAGGTGCTTAGCACAGCCATTTTTAATAATGGTGAAAACTGGAACCAACCCAGATGTCTGATGAGAGAGAATTGGCTAGATCAATTATAGTACATTTTGTTCATCTGTAAGTTAAAATATTCTGTGTAGCGGTTAAAAGTGATGTTACAGATGGATATTTAATGACATGAGAAAATGTTTGCTATGTATTAAGTGGAAAAAACAGTTTACAGAGTGATCCCAATTGGGGAAAAAAAATAATAGATTATGGAAAGAAGGGAGATTAAAAGCTTGAGGGCGAGACACCAAAATGTTCACTGCATCAGGATTAGAGATAATTTTAACTTTCTTCTTTGTAATTTTAACTTTTTATATTTTCTGCAACATTCACATGGTAGTTTACTCATGTAAAAAGAAATCTCGGAGAATCATATACACAGGAGATCTGGTCACCTGCACCTGCCCCTTCAGGAGGGAGCAGTCCTGTCGCATTTCTCTGAGGCCCTGCTTCCTAAAGTCTGTTTGTTCCCTCACCCCCAGCCTGGGTGCCTCCGCCCCACGGAGCAGGGAGCCTGAGGCCGACAGTGCCCCGGGCCAGCACTGCCTCCTTCACACTTCCCGGTGCTCTCTGGAGCACAGCATCACAGCAGCCTTCGGCTGCATCAAGAACACAGTTTACTCTAAAGTGACAGGGGAATTTTCAATTTCCTAAAGCCCGCTTCTTGTCAACACTGGCTGCTAAATATTTCATGCCCTCTGGTCCTGTGGCTCCTTGGGGACATGCTTGCCGAGGCCTTTCTGCCTGTCATTATGATGAAAAGATGGCTCCCTGAAGGTGGGGAGGGGGGAGTAGGGCAGGGAGGGAGGAGAGGAAGCGGGGAGGAGAGAAGAGCAAGCGTTTTTCTGCTCTCTCACCTGCCCACAGGCACACGGGCCCCTGGGAAAGGAGGAGCAGTGCCCTTGGAGTCCCAGTGCCTGTGTGACGGTTCTGGACCAAGTACCCAAGCTTCTTTGACTTTACGTCCCTGTTAGTGCTGTTGGCGCTGAGGCTTCATTTCCCATCACCGCAAGGGAGGGAAGAGACCAATTTCTGAGGTCTCTCCAATTGCCATGTTCTACAGCCCCAAGAAGGAATGGAGCTCCCTCGCCCCGTCCTCCGGAGCATTCCGGCCCTTTATGAATGCACTCTCAGCTGACTGCCTTGTTGCAGAGTTATTTGCAAAAATGGACTGTCAAATGGATGAGTCAATGACTGACTGGTGAAAGGCACAGAGAGAGAGAGGGATGTGGGGCCAGGACACCTCCGTTCCTAGCTTAGTCCCCCGACGACTACAGGTGTGATCTTCCTCAAGTTACATGAACACTTTGAACTTCTTCCCCCATATGTAGAAGGTGGTAATCAATATTACATAAGAGCAGTTGTGACGATCAAGTGAGACAAGGTACAAGGAAATTCTTTTTAAATTATAAAGAGAATGAATATTTACTGCCTATCATTCCCAGACACTGTGCTAGGGAATTTGTACACATGATTTCATGAAAAATTGCATTTCCACCACCTGATGGAACCTAGCATGGGGCTCTGCATTTGTAACCACACTTTCTGTCACCACGCCTTGGTTTCCCTATCTATGCAAGGGAGTAGATAACACTGATCTTGAGGGATTATGGTGACAGCTAAATAAGAAAAGTGAAGTGGTACCCATCTCTGTAGCCCCATTTCTAACAGTGCCCGGCATATAAGTTCTCAGTAAATCATTCTGGACCCTAAGGACAGAGTTATACTTTGTGTCTGTGGTGGCCGCAGGCTGCAGAGTTGAGAACTAATCCCTTGTTTTGAACAGGTTGTAACATCTTCTGTTCCGTCTCAACTCTACACCTCTTTCTAGTTCCCCTCATCTTCATCTCCTTCCAGAGGGACTGGTCCAAGCTAAGCTCCTTGGTCCTCCCCTTTGCATGCTTGCCTCTGAGCTGTGTTCTCACCTCTCTGGCTTACCTCCCTGCGCCCCACAGCACAGTACAGCAGCTGCGTGTTTGTGACAGAGGAGGCTCTGAGAATAAAGTCCGGGCGCCTTTCCCATATGTGTATATAGAAGTACACACCTGTGTTGGGGGGTTTGGTAAAAAGAATCCCATGCTTAGATTCAGACCAGGGTGCTGAGGACCAGGGGCAGAGAGATTTCAGTCCTGGATCCAGGATTTCTGAATCTAAGTGTGGGTTTCTCCCACTTCCACCCTATGCCAATTGTCTTCCAAGCCTTTGATCTGGCTGCTTGGCAGGACCTCTGGCTCAAGTTAAACAATTTTCCAATGTGTGGACTGAAACATTTCGGCACCCTGTGCTGGGTGGTGGAGGTCCCATTTTGAGAACTGAAAACCCGTGGACACACGTCCTCAGGCCCTGGCAGCTCCCTGATGGGTACATCGAGCTTGCTCACAGACTGGAGAGGGAAACTCTCAAGCCAGCAAGGGGAAGCCTGCCAAATTGGAAAGTCGAGAGGCAGAGAACAGATTCCACGCTGGCTCATAACGATCATATCAGCTGGTGAGGAGGGAAACCACCTTAGCATCCGATAGGGAAGGGACACGGGTGCCGGGCCGCTGGCAGCATCCGGGGGCTCTGGGGAAGGGGCTCTAGGGAAGGGGCTCTGTGACACACATTGGCAGCAGAGGCAGGCGTGACCAGGGAGGCCTCCCAGCTTCTGCTGCCTGCCGAGCACAGGGAGCGGGTCTGCAGTCGGTGACAAGGCCTGTGTGTCCCGGCTCCCTTAGAAGTGAGAGGGCTTAAAAAGCTACGTGTGCCCCCTGCTGACACCAACTGGCAATTTAACATAATTTCCTTGGTTTTGCTAATGTTGGCAAGATGGATGCTCACAGATTCAGCAGTGCCCAAGCCTTGCCAAAGGACCTAGCGATAAAGAACACATCACTTGTCAGGTCACTGCAGGACAAACTAACGATCTCTCTCAGGTCTACACTGGGCTCCTGGTGCCCCCCCTGCTAAGGTCCAAACTCTTGTATGGTGAGTTAAATTCTCCTTTAACTGGCTCCAAAGCACACCTCTAGTTTTGACTCCTGCTACTTCCTTTCAAGACCCCTATGCTCAGTGTTTAATTTTCCAGTGTTCCTTGAATGTTCCAGGGCCATTAACATCTTTGTACCTTTGCATACGTGATTCCCTTTGCATGAAATGTCTCCTTTCTTCCAACAAACTCCTATTCAACCTTCAAAATGTGGCACAAATGTCACCTCCTTTGTGAAAGTAGGACTAGAATTTCTGTTTATTGATCACTTCCAGAGTGCCAAGCAGTTCTAGGAGCCCTACATGAATCACTCCACATATTTTCAAGGCAATCCTGCCAGGCCAATGTCCATGAGGCCCATTTTACAGACATGAAAAGTGAGGTCCAAGGGACCTCAGCAACTTGTCTAAACTTACACAGCGAGTGAGTGGCAAAGCTGGGATTCAACCAACCAGTCAATCAACTAATCAATCAACAAGTACTGATTGTGCACCCTGGTTATAGTAGAGGAAAAGATGGACAAAAGGTTCCTTCTAGCCTGTCCCCATGTGGCTTACAGGCTAGAAAGAGAGCAGACAATGTACAAGCATCTGTGTTTCCAAAGAAGGAATTCAGGAGGTGATGGATTTAAACTCACACCATGTGAGGCTGTGCTGCCCCTGAGGCTTCCTTGGGCAAATCTCTTCACTGTCCCCTGAGCTTCCCTCTGTCACCCACGTATACCCCTGACGGTGAACTCCCAGAGCATCGTGCTGTGCCCTGCTCATCTGTGTGTCCTTAGTACTCTTCACCAAGAGTGTGCTCTCACAGGCCTTGGGCAGCACAACGATGAGCAGCCAGCTGGCTGGCGGGGGCCAGTGGGAGGACACATGTGCAGACTCAGGGCTCCAGCTGACAAAGCTGTCTCCTTACCTGGGAAATATCCATGACGGAATCACAGCTGAGGGGCCGGGCCGAGGTGAGGTCATTGGAGCCCAGCAGGGTGGAGATGACCCCATTCTGATCAATGCGTCTGATCATGGTGCCATCCACGAAGTAAATCAGCCCAGACTTGTCCACTGTGATGCCTGGGGAGGAGAAGCAAGAGGTGGTAACAACCCACACGCTCACCAACACTTGCGGGTTGACAGTGCACACCCCTCACCGTGATTTGAGTAGATCTCCCCCACAACTGATTCATTCCCTTTCTGAAGGCGAGAAGAGAGCTGCCCAGAGGCTTGGGGTGATTTTTTTTTTTCAAAGCCAGGGTTAGAACCCAGGTCTTCAGCTTCTCCTGGGCTCTGGTCCTCCCACCTGGCTGCCTCTGGAGATTTTCACCTATCATGTTAGCCATCCATTAAGGCTGGACTCACAACTTCTGGGAGGTTGTTAGGCACTAGAGGTAGTGGTAAGGAAGAACATTTTCGGTGTCAAAACTGTGGATTATTTAAATGAACCTACTTCTGAAGACCTGTAATTATACTAATCAAAACCCTTTTTTGGTAAGAATTTTTCTTTTCTTCCAAAACAATCATCCTTCACATTTTTCTAGTCTATTACTGTTTTAGTTTCATTGGTCATTTCAGAAGTATAGAGCCTGAAAAAGAATCCTTTGGATTGGGGCAGGGAATATTGATGAATTTAATTTCTCAAAAAGGCACATTGAAGGGAGGAGTCAGAATCATTATTCCACATCATTTCCTGCATTTGCTAGACTGTCCCACCTGTTGATCTCCTCCCTGACCAACTGTGTGACCTTGGGCAAATCCCTGGAAGTCCCTGCATTTGTTTTCCCAGCTGTGACATGAAGGGGTTGTTCTAGAACTGTGTTACTCACTCCTGTGTAAAGAAATACCTGTATGTGTGTGTGAATTACCAGGGAGCTTGCTAAAATGCACCCCTGCCAGGTACCTCATTCAAGAAAATCTCAAGTGGAGCTTGAGCATCTATCTGTATTTTTTATTGATGTATAGTTGATTTACAATGTTGTGTTAGTTTCTGGTGTACAGCATAGTGATTTAGTTATACAAACATATATTCTTTTTCATATTATTTTTCACTATAGGCTATTACAAGATATTGAATACATATAGTTCCCTGTGCTATACAGTAGGACCCTGTTGTTTATTTATTTTATATATAGCAGTTTGCATCTGCTAATCTGAAACTCCTAATTTAGCCCTATTTGTATTTTTGACAAGCACCTTGGATGGTAAAGATACAAATCAGTTGGAGAACCACACTAGTAAATCAGTACTTCTTAACCAGTGATGTGTATCAGAATCACCTGAAGAGTTTTTTTTGACCTCTGCTTGCTTAGTTTCACTCCTGGAAATACCAGATCACAGGGTGGCTGGGACTGGGACCAAGGCATGCTTTAAAAATGCTCATAGTTGATACCGACACCCCAAGCCTGGAACCATGAGAGTTAGAAATACCCCTACCAAAGTCTTAACTGCTCAGGGGTCCTGGGGCTGAGAGACAGACAGGAGGTGCCCCCGAGGAGCACATGGTCTAGATGGGGAGGCGTGGGAATGAATCAGTACTCAGAGAGGGACAAAAGCCCAGGAGGGTTCGTGGTAAAATAAAGGAGACTGGTTAGTTTTATTCTGTGCAGCTTTCTCAGGGGAAGGAACTGAAAGAATGGGTCAGAAAAATTTCAAAGAGGTGGAGACATGAAGCATAAAGCTTTCCAGCTGTATAATCTTGGAGGAGTCACTTCCCTTCCAAGTCTCAGTTTCTTCATGGTTTAATGTGGGTAATAACATCTGACCTGGAATAGGTAGCCCTCAACAATTACTCACGACTTACAATTATGAGAATGTGAAACCCACTTTGTGGGTTTCATGGCCCGTGCTCTCAGGGCCCACGTGTCTATGACCCTCAGCAGGTTGGGGCCTCTGAGTGATGAAGACCCTCTGGAGCTGTGTTCCTCCTGCCCCCTCCTTAGGCTGTTCAGGGCTGGAAAGTGATTTCACAGGGAGCACCTGGCAGCCTCAAGGTGGGGGAAGGCCCTTCTTATGTCCCTGCCTAGAATGTAAATTAACTGCATTCTTTAAGTACCGAGCCAGTTTTCTTGTCTGTTTGGCTATGCTCTGCCTTTCTCTTCCGCCTGCTAGGACTGATGAGTGCGCCACGAACAATCAGGTTCCTAGTTTACAGAAGTTGGCTGCACAGGCTAACAGAAGTGATCTGTCCTCTGATTAATTACTTCATTCTTTCGCCTTTTGTTGTGCTAAATATGTGGACATCTTTCCTCCTCCCTGCTGCACAGGGCCTGCGTATCATGGCACCCTTGTCATTTCTCTCTGGGTTAATTACAGGCTTTGGGGCAATTTCATTGTCACCACATCTGTGTGTGTGTGTGTGTGTGTGTTTGGGTGTGTATGTAAGGGGAAGGTGGAGAATACATGTGTGTAGAGCAGTTGAGAAAGATCTGGAGAGTAAAACTTCTCAGAAAAAAATGTTTTAATTCTAAGAGAAAAGACTGTTGCAACCAAAAGGGCTCTCAGGGACCACTTAGCCCAATCTACACATTTACCAATGGGAAAACTGAGGCTCAGAGGAGGAGGGGGCTCACAGAGCTGGGAGTGGCCAAGCAAAACTGTAACGCAGGGTCCCTAAGTGCAAGCCCAGTGTTCTTTCCACTCCAGGCTCCTCCCTCGGTATTAGAAAATCATAATTAGGAGGGAAATTAACCATAGATGTCAGAAAATTTACCCCACAGAGCTACCAGTTGACCACTTCGGGTATGTGGAAGACACATATGATGTGATATAATACGATACATCATATGATGTGATATGATGTACATCCAATTTAACAATTATAATAGTAATTACAATTTATGGGATGTTAATCATGTGCCTAGTACCCTGGTACCAATATACTAAGCAAGCATTTACACTCCTGATAATATTTAATCTGTATTATAACTGTGCAGTATATTTCTATTTCATAGAGGAGGAAAATGGGTCTCAGAGAGGTTAAGCAGCTCACCCAAAGTCACACAGCTAGCTATTAGGTGGTAATGTCTGAATTTAAACATAGGACTGCCTGACTTCATTTTCATTTGAAACCAAGCCCTGAAATCTGGCACTATCTAAAAATACTACCATTCATAACATTTTTATAGGCCATCATATGAAATATATTAATTTTGACCCTCAGAACAATACTAGGAGGTGGACATAGAAGATAATACTCTTGTTTAATCGACTGAAGCTTAGACACCATAGGTTATTGGCTTTAGGGTCTGTAAACACTTGCTGATGGATGATGCTGACCATGAAGGCTTCTCCTCCAAAAAGCCTTCCAAGTCTCCTGGGCACAGGGGCTCCCCTCGGCTTTGGACCCCTCCCCCACAGTTCTTTCTTCTTACATCTCAGGGAGCACTCCCCCTCCTCTCTCATCTGAGTGATTTGCATTCATGTCTTACTTTTCTGCTATGATGAACTTATCTATGCAACCACAGTACACTGTATACCCAGTAAAAACTTGCTGAATAAGTGAATGGAAAGTGATTGTGGGTATGAAGAAGTCCAGCTTTTTGAAGGATTCAAAACTGAAACTTAGAGTTTACCCATCTACAGCCCATGATCATGTGTGAAGATGACACCCTGCCGTGGTTTTATCAAACAGTAACTTGAGAGGTAGCATAAATATCCAACAGGAGGGGATTGATAAATAAATAATGGGACAACCATTTGATGGAATTCTATACGTCCACTAAAAGCGAGTGCACAGAAGACTCTAATAACATGGAGAAATAAATATTCATGATACATCACTTAGGAAGAAAAGTAGGTTACTGAAACAGCTGGTTTCATTTTGTTTGTTTTTGGTGAGCATTATATACACACAAACACCTAGAAAAAAAGAGCAGGAGGAAAGATAGGAAATGTTAACTGGGACTATTTCTGGCAGATGGAATTACGACAATTTTAACTTTCCTCTGTATGTTTCAACATTTTTTGCAATGATAAACATAGATGTCCTTTTGGAAATGGAAATGCCCTAATAAATGTTACTGAGAGTGTTTTAAAAGCAAGGCCTTACCCCTGGGGTTGGTAAGTGTGGCTTCTGTGGCCTTCCCACCATCCCCGCAGCGAGTATCATCAAAGGGGAGGCACTGGTCACCTGTCCCTGCCACCACCTCGGAGTTCTTGACAAGGTCCGTCACCACCACAGTGGACTTGATCTTGAAGACCCGCCGGCTGTTGGTGTCAGAGAGGAAGACGGCCCCACTCATGGGGTCTGTGGTCAGGTAGTATTTATGCGCGGGACTGTGGCTGGAAAGCAAGGAACGCCCGTCGGTGAATACTTTCTTCTGTCCTAACAGGCAGCCAGAGATGTACAACTTGAGTCCAAGCAAAAATGTTATGGGGACAATGTCCCTATTTAGGATGATCCAGGCCAGAAACATGAAAGGATATGACTTTAAAAAACACTTCATAACAAAACAAACCAAAACCACCTCAAGAGTTCGACACACAAGCCCTCTCCCACAGAGCTTTCACAGCAGCCCCACCCCCACGTCAGGGCTGAGCGCGCAGGCCCCGGCCAGATCTGACTCCAGCCAGCGTCAGCACTGCCGTCCGCTGACACTCATGTTATGCTTATCAGGAGCCCAGGAGTCTCCCTCCTGCAGCCAGATGTAAATGAATTGCAGGACTAGTCTGTAATTTGCAGCAACACCCAAGGAAAAATAAACAAAACAGAGGAGCAGTGGTGGTGATAGCTCTGCTTCTGGAAAACGGCTGCAAAGCAAGGCGAGGCTATGCTGACAGAGGAAAGTGAAGCTAGACCAGGACGACACAGAGGGATTATGGAGACGAGGCACCACCTCTAGGCACAGGGCAGGAAAGACGCGCAGGCTTTGGGGTCAGACTGGTCTGGGTTCCACGTCTAGCCTTGTCATTTCCTGGTTCTGAAACTTGGGCAGGTTACCTGGCCTCCGGGGCCTCAAGTTTTCTTCATCTGCAAGGTGAGGATGTTAACAGCTACCTCGCTGGTGTATTGGGAAAATTACATAAAATCACATACGAAAAATATTTGGCATAGTGCATGGTACAAAGTAGGGACTCGATAATCATTATTATTTTTAATTGCTAGTCATCACATGTGTTTTTGCATTTGGAGAGGACTACACAGTTGGTATCACTTATTAAGCCTGACTTTCGCTATCACATGGTACTGACTGACAGTTCTTTCCAAGTCTAGGCTCTACTGGAGTTGGACTCAAAACTCCTGGGAAACTAATTATCAGTTCCTGACCTTGGACTGATCATCTCCAGGCCCTCAAACTGCATCTCAATATTGGTAGCCTCTGGAAAGTCTTCTGATTCAAATGAATTTCCCTCTGTTCAGGCTGGATGGCCTGGCACTGGCCATTTTCACTGGACAGTGGGACACACGCTGTGCTGGGGGATTCAGGGTACAGACTAAGTAGTGGTAAGACCACCAACTATGCAGGGCGCTGTACACCCCTGCAAGGTGCAAGTAAGAGGATCAGAAATGTTTAAAAAGAAGCTATTTTGCATTTCATCAGGCATGTATATTTTGGATCCTTTCAAAAACCAAAATTTTATTTTACAGATTAGTGTCTTTTGAATAACACATGAAGACTGGGCACTGTGATCTTCAATGTCAAGTTCTCTGAAGGGCTTAACTTGGCCCTGATGGTTCCTCATCATAACCATCCCTTGCTTTGGGCAGTGTCCCGGGGACTCACCGCTTCTCACAGGGCCAGGCCTCCAGACCCAAGGCTTTCCTTCCTGTTTTCTCTCCCTAATTTGTCCAAGACATCATGATCTTCTCCAACTGTCCTGTCTCTCTAGCCCTGATGCTACTGACCCATTACCTCCTCCTCCAAACAGGGGGGGATCTCTGTCTGCAGCCTGGGTCCTCCCCAAGCCCTTCTTCCCTGATCCAACCCAAATACCAACACATCACTGCAAGGTTTCCCCTTTCAGGAAACCTCTCTCCCCCATTTCCTACAGGATAATTCATGCTCCCCAGCCTAGCAGCACACAGGGCCCTTCATGCTTGGCTGCTGCTCTGTCTTCTCCTCACAGACACACTGACAACTTGTCCCTCAGATATGCCTTCATGCATCTGTCCCTGCTGCTCCCGCTCCAGGGAATATCCTGCACCCTTCCCTTCTCAGCCTGCTGACCGGCTACTCATTCCTCAGGTTACCAGCCCAAATGCTAACTTTTCTTGCAAAACATCCTCCTACCCCCCGACCTTTCTTCTCTGTGACCTGAGATTCATTTTGGCTCCAATCTGGTTACAGGACACTCAGCATAATGCTGTGCCTGTTTATTCATGTGTCTGTCTCCCAGATCCTGTCAATACTTGAAGAGAAGAGATGGGATTTTGTTCATTTCTGTGTTTCCAATGTTCAGCTTGGTGTCTTGTAGCCCACAGCAGCTGCTCACTTTAAGTGGATTCCATCTCCATTTTTAGTTTACTTCAACAGTATTTTCAATCCAATTACTTGGCTGTTCTTTCACCTCTCTTTTGGGGGTGGTGGTAACCAGAGAGATGTCCTGTTTATCTTGAAACATCCCCCGTGACTTACCCTATGATGCAACAGAGATTTAATCTTCCTGGATGACACTGATTCTGGCTAAACAAAATGTGGGGACCTCGGATCCCTCTCTGTGATGCCAGGGCAGCCTTGATCTTTCTGCCTTCTGATGACAGCTGCGAGGTGGGAGTGATAATTTCATTTCTTTGAGTATCACTCATGATAAACGGATGCTATCCACCCTGGCAGAAAATGGGTTTTTGAGGGAGTGTGGCGGGGGCCCTGTCCACTTAGATTAGCCTGCTGAGTTTCTGGCTCATGTCTTCCTGCACTGCCCCAGAGAAGTGCCACCTCTGTGACATTTCTCAGACTGGTAAATTCCAGAAGAGAGTGGCATTGGCAGGACTGTCCTAGAGAGTCCATAAGAGCTGTGGCCCTGTCTTTTGTGCCCAAGAACAAATTTGAAGTCTGGTGGGGGGGGAGTAGTCAGACCTAAGCTTTGAACTTAGAAGATGTGGGTTCTAATTTGGGCAGGTCACCTAAATCGTTCAAGAGGTAGGCCCCTCAGCTGTCAAACAATGAAGTCCCTGCTCTGCTTTGCTCACAGGCTTGTCATTAGGATCAAATAAATTACACACTCAACAGCCCTTTCCAGTTGGCAGAGCTCCCCGACAATCTTCATCTCACTTCCTCCTCATGCCCCTGCACCGGGAGCAGCACCTGGACCTCTCCCAGGAGCTGCCCCACCAGTCTGTGGAGCAGAGCTCCGGGGAGGCCTGCCGCTGGTACAGAAGCATCCGCTACCACTTCCGGTGCCTCTTCATCCCAGGCACTGAGATAGCATTTTATATGTACAACCTCATTTTCATCACAACTACCATAGAAGCTAGGTGCTTTTTTAAAAAAACATTTTTTTTTTCAGAAGCCTGAGATGAAAGAGGTGAAGTGACTGGAGCAGAGCCAGAAACTGCTAAGTGGCAGGACAGATACTCAACTCCCATCTGCTTGACTCCAAAGTCTGGGTTTTCTACCTCCCCACAGCGCTTCTCAGGGCCTAGAGAGCACCACCGCCCCCCTCACGGGGCGCACCTGCCCAGTTCCCAAGGTTCAGCCCCAGCGTCACCTCGCCTGGAATACATCCCTAGATTCCTGGGCCCCTGCTTCGTCCCACTGGCCACTTCCTTTGTTACGGCCCCACTAGACCCGACACTTTCAGTATCTCTAGCACCTTTAAGACCCTCTTCTGCTTTGCTGTCTGTCTCCTCAAGGACAACTCGGACTCCTCAAAGGCAGGACCCGGCTTCAAGTACCCGGTGCTCAGCTGCAGTTAGGGCTCCAGAAAGGCCTGCTGACTGTACGAATCAGTGCGTCAGTGACCCCGGGGTTACAGATGGAAACACCCACTGCTAAGGATCTGAGAGTGATGGTTCTCAATGTGGCTACGCATCAGATTCACCTGGAAGGCTTTTTTTTAAAGCCCCACCCATCATGTCTGAAGGGCCTGGGCACCTGTCCCTTTAAGATTTCTCTGGGTAATTCTGAGGCACAGCTCGACTCAGAAGCCAGGGCTTTAGAGCAGTGCTTTTCAAACTTTAATGTGCATATGGATCATGTTAAAATGAAGATTTCAGTCCAGCAGTTCTGGGTGTGGCCCGAGAGTCTGCCTTTCTAACAAATCCTCAGAGGATGCCAGCATTGCTTATCTGTACTTCGAAGAGCAAGGCCTGACTTAGAATTCTCTGCAAACCAGACATGCACAAGCTGGGAGCTGGCCTATGGCTGAGACCCCAGGCCTAGTTCTGTGGACTGGAACCATGTCTGATCCAATTCTGATCCCCAGTATATTGAGCAGAGTTGGGCCAGATAGGGTCACAGCTCTATTTCCAGAGTCTGTGCAGAAGTGCCTGAGGATCCATGTTCTTTTCCACTTCCTTAAATATAACCCTGGTACTTCTGGAAGCTACGCAGAATCTTAGAGGCTATAAGGGTATTGATCCTGAAGTGACTAACCTGCAGTGAAGCCCCACTCTGCCCTCTTTCTGGACAAGGTAGGGAATGTCCTAGTAGGAGCTGTGAGCCTAGGCATCTTTGGGGATGGAAGGCAATCTATTCTCTGCTTCTGAGGGAGAACTATCCCTCTGTCCCACAATACGATCTGCCTTGTGCAAAGGAGCATCCTTTGACTACATCACGCGGCAGCCCGGGCAGAACTTGATTCACTGGTTCTTGGAAGGAGCAGGAAGAGCTTGAGCATTTGAACCACACAAATGGGGCTTCAGATGCTGGCTCTGCCACCCACTTGGTACGTGACCTTGGGCAAATTACTTCTTTACCCTGAGCCTCAGTTTTTTTTTATATGAGAAATGGGGATAATCACATCTACTTCAAAGGGCTACTTTGAGGACAAACTTGTATAAAGAACGTAAATCTGCAAGCCTAGTGCCTGTTCCATTGAAAAATAAAAATGCCCAATTAATGGTAGCTGGTCACTTTAATGTGACCATTTTAACGTGTCATTTTTATGTGACTGCACAATGGAAAAGACGAGTATGTCACACTAAATACTGTCTGCCTAACCTATTTTCTGAGGCAATTAAGGGCTCTTAGAGTTAAAACAGTCTGTGTAGCTGAGTATGATGGAGATTTGAGTGCAGATGTACTTCTGAACAGCAGGCCTCAAACATCCCTCCACGACCCTAGGGGAGATGTCTGGGAAGAGGTGAGGATCCGTGTTCCCTGAAGGGATCCAGGGAGGAAGATGTCCAAAGGACTGGGAGTCTCTGTGCTGAGCACGCCCAGCATGGTGGGATGCACTGAGGCTGTAAAGGCCAAAGAAAGAGATGCGTCTGCCCTGAGGGACACACACACAGGGTAAGGGCACTGGCCTGGAGTCAAATGCTATTCCTGGGAACAGCTGAACAGTAAATGCTAATGGACAAACAACGAAATTTGAGAATTTCTTTATCCACTTCTGGGATTTACTGATAAGGACACTAAGGCTCTGCGAGAGGAAGGGATTTGCCAATATCCAGCAGCCAATTAAAATCAGAGCTGGAGCCCAAGGCTTCTCCCTCCTGATTGTCTTTGAAAACTGGATGGCAGAAGGAATTTCACTTTTCCCTTCCACTTTGGCTCACTTTCTAAATAGTTTTGAGCACCTGAGAAAACAATGAATTGAGAGAGGGCAGGGAGGCAGCTCTGAAGTCATACCATGGGCACATCAAAAGATTGCTAACCATCAAAGACAAAAGGTACCAAAACCACAACTCTCTCAATTTACAGATGATGCAATTGGAAACCAGAAAAGCAAGGTGACCAGCCCAAGGCCACATGATGAATGCACAGCAAAGCTGGACAAGCACCCTGGCTCCTGACTCTTCTCAGCTAGGTCCCTCCGTATCCCGGCTGTGTCCTGGGTAGTTACCACCACTGACTGGAGTTTTAATGTGAAAGGCTAGATTTTCATCCAAGATCCTCACGTGAAATGTACTTCTGTGTTTTCTATAAAACTGGACGTGAAGACACATATCAATTCATAGTTCCATATCACCCATACAAAACTCACTGAAAATCTCTTTCCAATTTCAGTTTTGAGAAAAAATATCCCTCCTCTGAGAAATGGGGATAGTTCCCCATTTTTGATAATGTAAACCATGAAAACAATTGTCTCCCTGTTATTCTGGCTCCCAGGAAGCTCAGAGTCTAATGTGATGTGTAATCACATGTATGTGTTTCCTCCTTTTTTTTTTGTTTCCAAATTCTGTTTAGTTTACTTTAATACATGTGTCTTTGGTTGTAAGGGAACTGAATTCTTTTTGGGAAAGATGGAGACATCATCATCATTATCACCATCATCTAATTGTTATGATGATGATAATAACAGTAATGATTTTTTATTATTACTATTACCACCTTTTCTGAAGCTCCTCCCTGTGCCTGGCACAGTGCTAGACACAAAGTCCTCTGTAACCCTTATAGCAACCTCCAAGGGAGATTTTATTAACCTCAAGTTAGAAACTAAAGCTCAGAGAAATGAAGGAAAAATTTTCAAGGTCATACAATTGGGGAGCCTCAGTTTTCTCATCTGTAAATTGGATGTATCATGAATACCTTATTCTGTCCTTGCTGGCAGACCCTCTGATGGGGTCCCCTCGCATTCCAGCCACCAAAGTCGAGGTTCCTGCAATGCCCACAGGGGTACAAATCTGAAACCTGTCTTCTCCCAGGTTCTTTGCCTGATCGAGATGTTCTCAGGACTTCCCACTGTTGACTCTCCAAGTCACTCAACAAGGTTAGGATAATCCTTACTCACTCTAAGGATAAGCAGACTGGGGTGTTCAAATTACTATGCCAAGGTTAAAATTTCCCCCTATTACTCAGTCTGTCATGTCCACAAACTACCAATGTAACTGCTGCACCTTGCTAGAGATGAAAGGAATTCAGGCTCTCACCACCCACCCCCACCGTTATTAATGACTTTCTCTCATCATAGCTGATCACCCCCAACCAGTTCCAATCACGCAGGACTCGTTTGCCATCGAGCGAGCTGAAACTGACACGTGCAGCTTACCATACAACATGCAACAAGGCAGAGGAGAGACAGGAAATTCTCCACTGGTTGGCTTACCTATGTCTGAAATCTTTATTTCTGACAGAAGACAGGAGAGCAGGGAATAGAAGAAAGAATGAAGTGTTAGCAGCAGGGTTAGAAGCATTATTAGCAGCCTGAAAACTTGACAGCAATGGTACAGCACAATACTATAATAAATAAAGACTTAGCAGCTCTGACACTGATATATTTCATATTGGATATTACTTGTCAGTGAGCTCACTTAGAAGCGGCTACATATCACAGAAGAGGCACGGTTTCACCTGCATCAACATTGCTGACTTCAGGGGAAGAAGATGAGGTTGACACAGGTTGGAACAGCTGACTCCCTCCCCTGTACAGCGACACGTTCCCAGAGATACACACGCTCACTGCTACATCTCTGTGTGCACGCTGCCCTACAGAGAGCTACGCAAACCTGCGCAGCCCACCACCATCCTCCTCATGATACAATACAGAATTGGAGATAAGCTCTGGTTAGAAGGTGGGGGGTGATGTAGAGAAACAGGCCTGAGAAAGAAGGTTGGAAGAAGAAAATATATCAAGATGATAATATATATAAATTTATTTTTCTTTCCAAATTTAAGTTATTCCTTCCTTCCTCACCCACTGTCTTCCACGATCTCCCTGCAGCTGGGGGAGGGAGATGGGGAAAATGGGACCTCTTATTGAAGGATGTGAAAATGCAGGGCCAGAGAGGGTACATGTCTTGCTCAGAGTGGTACAGCTTTAGTTTCTTTGCCAAGGACCCCCTAGTCCACAGCTCTTTCCATCACAGCACAGGAGATAGAAAGATAATATGAGCAAATGACTGAAGCAAACACACTCAAGGGTTCCCTCTTTCTTGGCAGATGTCTACGCTGGCCAAACTCATAACAGAAAAAAAAAGCAGAGATTATCCCATCAGTGGCCTGGTCCTCATTCAGCCTGACATCTGATTTTCTTCTCTTCATTTGTCCCTGTGTGTTTGGCTGATACTAATACTCTCGGCCTGAGGGCCGTGATGGCTGTGGTCAGCCAGCGAGGCTTCCTCTCCTCCCACATGTGCTGCAGAGGGAGATGCTCAGCAGGTACCTCCCTCCAGGGAATAACTGAACATGGCATTCAGCCAAAGTGGCTGTCATCGGGCCGGGCGACAGTTCTTTGGCGAGGCAGAGCTGTGGGTGGCCTCTGGGTTTGGGCCTGCCATTCTAGAAGCTGGACCTTGTGCAGGTTCTTTAAATTCCCTGAGTCTCCTTTATCTTGTTTGTCAACGGCAATAGTTAATAAATATCTCACAGAACTCTTACACTTGGCAAACAGAAGGGGTCTCACAAAAGTGAATTTCCTTTTCCACCGGCCACTGTGGAGGAAGGCTTTCCAGCTCAGGGGTCTGTCCTTGACCCAAGCCCAAGAGATGGGGCAGGCTCTATTCCCTAAAATAATTCCCTAAAACAACTTGGTGCAACTTCTCTGAAAGGGAGAGTGGGGCTCCCCATCTCTAACCACAGCTTCTCTGTTACCCAAGCTATGACAGCACTGTGGGTCTAAAAAGGTCTGGTTTAGACAGGTGTAGAGATACGCAACACACCAGGCCCTTCCCCAAGCTGTGGGTGTGGCTGTGCTCCATTCCTCACGGTCAGGATGGGGAAAAAGCAAAGGCTGACTTGGCTGGCTCTGCTGCATCCCTGCACCTTAGGAGCAGAGAGGCGCTGCCTGATGCCGACCTGTGGGCCCGATCCCGTACTGGGCAGCTGCAGAGAACTGCTCCTAACTCTTACGCGTGTTAAGTTACAGGGCCCGATCTGTAACACTGGCATAGGGACTTAGTGTGTGATGCCTCCCTTGTCCTTATTCACAAAACTCATATGACTAGTTCTAATCAGCTTGGTGCTGGGAAACAGAAAGAAGGATGTAAGGGCTTCCAAGGAGTCTAATTCTTGGTTGCTGGCAGCCTTCTGCATCACCTGGACGCCAAGGATGTCTCCCTGTCCCAGGGGTGCTATGACCTCACTGCAGTGCCCCGTGGAGAGCAGCGCTGCTTCCCCAGAGCCCCCAGCTGCAGGTTAGCCTCTGGGAAGTGGCAGGCGAGGCCCCGTCCTGTCCCCTTCTCTGGGCCCACTGGGTGGCAAAGGGGCATATTAGTAATGCGAGGTGGGCCCCCCTTACATACCTCAACTCCAGGATGTTGGTGACGTTCCCAGATGGGAAGATCCGGCGGATGTAGTTGAAATCACCCACGTAGAGGCTCCCGTCGGAGCCGCACGCGAGGGCCACGGGGGCCAGAAGCTTGTTGCCGTCGGCAAGGCCGTTGCAGCTGGGGCAGGAGATGCTTCTGCGGCGCCCGTTGCCCATGATGCTCCCGATGACAGGTGGCTGCTGAGACACAAACTGGTTCTCCCCGTTCCCTTTGTGCAGGATGCCTGGGACGAGGGCAGAAGGACAGAATCACCATCGGAGCAGGAGGTGGCCCTCCCCT